GGCCTTAACACTGAGCTACATCCCCAGCCCTTTCTTAATGTATTTTTATTTAGATTGGCTTTATTTTGAGACAGGGTCTCCTTGAGTCACTAAATTGCCCATAACGGGGTCAAACTTGACACTTTACTACCTTCCCAATCAAATTATGTTTCTCAGTGACCCTAAGATGCGGAACTTCTAAAGCACACCATGGTTCCAGTTCTGGGATGTTTTCTTCCTGTGCTTCTGTGGCCTTTGTGGTCAGCACCAGGGCGTGTAGCATTTCTGTGCTGCCATTTTGTCTTTTCCAATGAGCTTGTGAGCATCTCAAAGACAATGATGCTTCCTTTTATCTCTTTGACTGTGTCATTCTATCTGGTGCAGTTTGAATTAACTTTACTTTTTGTTCTTACCAAATACTCATCATATTGAAGATATGAAAGGCAGAAGTCATTTTGTAGTACTTTCAATAGGATTTGTCCTTTTTGAAATTTTTGTTAAATACCAAAAAGTTTTGACATTCATTCAACCACAGAAATTGAAGGACACAAATTCCTATCTGTTTCCCAAGTATTTTTCTTTTGAATTCCTAGGTGTGACCATATGTCTAAACAAGTTTTTTTCATCATTTCCTTTATTGTCTCCTAATAGCCAGTTTTTTACTCCATTTCCATTTAAGATACCATGTTAGCAATTCTCATTTGTTAAAAAATCCAGAAGAACATGACCCAGGCTTTGAGTAAAAGTAAATTTTTCCTGAACAGAAAATGTTGCTCCAGAAACACACAAAAAGACTACAATTATATTTTATGCTAAATATGTGTGAATTTTATATAAACCATCAAAAACTTAAAATGACAAATGAAATTTAATAGAAAGTAAACACTTCTATATTTTATTCCCACTAAGTATAGTGGATTGACAGGCAATACTCAATTGCTGTGATGATGTCCTTGTAGCTGAAAATGAAAAGTAAACCCACTAGTACTTGATAACAATAAATAAAACTAGTGACAATGTCATCAGCTTATGGAGTCTCCTCTGGTCTTTTAATATCTCTTATTCAGCTGAGCCTAGTTTGTGCTACATTCTAATTTGTACTTGCAGTTTTTCAGGACTTCAATAGGAAAACAGCTTGTAGTTTTCCTGCTGCTATCATCTCTCTGCTCATTTCTCTGTCCCCAAACATGCTTAACATAGACTCACTATCAAGTACCTCAACTCACTGGTTTCTTCTGAAAATTTAAGGCCTTTTTTTTTTTTTTAATCATAGCATTTTTCTAGGCATGAACTTCTAAAGGAAGCATTAGTCCCAAAATGTTCACACAGAATAAGCCTTTAATAAATATCCCACAGACTAATGATAAATTATGAAAAGAATCAACACATTCATTTTGATCAAATGAAGAAACTGAAGACACTGAGCAACAGAAAGATATTTCAAGCTCACAGGCAGTTAATGACAAAATTGGGAATAAAACCTGTTTTACAGTGCTTGCTTCAGCATCACATATACTAAAACTTGAATACAGAGAGTAGATTAGCATGGGCCCTCCGTAAGAAAGACATGCAAATTTTGAAATGTTCCACATTTTTTAATAGCTGTGAATGCCTATGTTAGAAAAATAGAGCAATCCCAAATTAATAGCCTAATGATGCATCTCAAGGTCCTATAAAAATCCAAAATTTGCACTAGGAATGAAATGATAAAGATCAGAATGGAAATTAATGAAATTGAGATAAAAATGCCAAGAATCAATGAATAGAAGAGTTGGTTTCCAACAGGATAAACAAAATAGAGAAACTCTTAGCAAAACTTCTTAAAAGAAGGAAAGACCCATATCAGTTGTAATTAGAAATGAAAAAGGCAAAGACACAATAGACACACCCCAAAATCCAGAAGATTATAAGAAACTATTTTGTAAACCTGTATTCCAATAAATTAGAAAATCTAGACAAAATGCCCAGATTCATAGACACATATGAATTACCAAAACTGAATCATGAAGATATAAAAGCCCCAAAGAGTCCAATAACAGGCAAGGAAACTGAGGCTGTACTAAAAACCTACCAAATAGTAAAAGCCATGACCCATGAAATCAATGGAGAATTTTACAAGAACTCCTGGGAAGAGATAATGCCAATACTGCTCAAAGTGTTCCGTGAAATTGAATGGGAGGGAACAACATTGACAAATGCATTTCTTGAAGCTAGCATTACACTGACACAGAAATCAAATGAAGACATAACAAAAAAGAAAACTACAGACCAGTTTCCTTAACAAATATAGATATAAAAATCCTCAGCAGGATACTCACAAACAGAAGACAACAAACATTAACAACATCATACCTTATGACCAAACTGTTTTCATCCTAGTGATGCAAGGATGGTTCAATGTACATAAATCAATGTAATACCGTACATAAACAGAAATAATCTTAATAGATTCCGAAGAAGCCTTTGACAAAAATCCTGCTTCCACTCATGATAAAAACTTTGAAAGAATGGCATAGAACAACCTTACTTAAAATGATAAAAGCCATTTTTAATAAACATTCTGCCGACAGTATACTAAATAGGGAAAAACTGAAAGTATTTCCATTAAAATCAGGAGCAAAACAAAGGTATCCAATTTCACCACTCCTGTTCATATAGTAATGGAAACTTTATCCAAAGCAATTATGCAAGAGAAGGAAATAGAAGCAATTCAAATACCAAAAGAAGAAGTCAAAATATCTTTATTTATAGATGACATAATGATCCATAAAAGTCCATCAGAAGACTTTTAGAACTGATAAGCAAATTCAGCCAAGTGGCAGGATACCAAGTAAACACACAAAAATCAATAGCTCTCCTATGCACCAAGAATGAGCTCACTGAGAATGAAATAAGGAAACAACCCATTCACAATAGACTTAAAAAGCCCATTCATTATAGCCCTAAAAAATTAAATATTTCAGAATTAACCTAACCAAACAAGAGGATGACCTGTATAAGGAAAGCTATATTGCTCTGAAAAAAAAAGAGATTGAAAGGACATTAAAAAATGGAAAGACATTCCCTGTCCTTGGACAGGCAGAAATAGCATTATCAAAATAGCCATATGAGCAAAAATGATACAAAGATTTAACATGATCCTCATCAAAAAATCACCATATTTTTTCACAGAACTACAAAAAATAATTTTAAAATTTACACAGAACAAAAAATACTCAGAATAGCCAAAGCAGTCCTGGGCAACATGACCAAGGAAGGAGGCATTCCAATCCTAGACCTCTAAGTTACCCTGCAAAGTCACAGAGGTAAAACCAGAAAAACACAGACATCTTGACCAAGGAAAAAGAATGGGGATGAAGAAACAATCCCAAGCACCTTCAGCCACATAATTTTTAATAAAGGAGGTAATAAAATATGCTGGAGAAAAGATAGTCATTTCCCAAATTATGCTATGAAAACTGGTTATCTACATGCAAAAGAATGAATCTTGATCCATATCTCTTAAGCTGTCCTAAGATTAAATTTAAATGGATTGCAGACCTAGATAGTACAACAGAAGCACTAAATGTACTGGAAGAAAAATTGGTAAAAGCCTTGCTGATATAGGCAGAGACAAAGACTTTCTAAAAAGAATCCCAACTACCCAAGAAATAATAGCGAATCATCAAATGGGTTTATATTTTAAAATACCTGCATAGCAAAGGAAACTACCAACAGAATGAAGAGACAGCCAACACAGTGGAAAAAAAAATGTTCCAGCTACTCCTCAGACAGAGGACTAATATCTGAACTACATGAAGAACTTGAAAAAAATAGATCTTCAAAATATATGAATCAATTGAAAAAATCAGCAATTGAAATAGACCCTTCACATAAGAAAAATAGATCATCAATAAATACAGAAAAAATGTTCAGTATCTTTACCTACTAAAGAAATGCAAATCAAGACATCACTGAGATTCCATCTTACTTCAGTAAGAGTGACTGTTATGAAGGACTCAAAAACAACAAAGGCTGGTAGGAGAGCACCCTTTTATATTGTTGGTGGGAGTATAAACTAGTATAATCACTTTGGAAATGAGTATGGAGATTGCTCAAATTTTTAAAATGGAAATTCCATTTAATCCAGCTATTCTGGATATCTCTCCAGAAGAGCTAAAGTCATCCTACTATAGTGATACACACATACCCATGTTTATAGTAGCAGAACTTACAATAGGTAAATTATAGGAGTGGCCCACATGCCCATTAACAGATTAATAGAGAGTGAAAATGTGATTTATACATACAACGCATTACTACTCAGGCATGAGTATGGATAAATTTGTGTCATTTTTAGGAAAATGGGTGAGTCTTAAAACCATAAATCTAAGTGAAATGTCAGTCACAAAAGGTAAAATTGTATGGCCTTTCTAATAAGACAGACACAAAATATAAACAATTTTAAATTGCAAAATAAAGAGTCATGTTAAGCAATGAGGAGGGAGATTCTAGAGATTGGGAGGGGTCTAGGAAAGGTTGGAAAAGGGAGTGCCAGGGAGCAGGGGGGAATGAAACTGACCAAGATGTGATACGTCTATGTATCGAATCATCAAGCTGAATGTAATTGCTATATATAGCAGGCATGAACTAATAAAATACAGTTTCCAGACTTCTAATAGGCTTTCAAATGTTTCATGCTGTAGTGTATAATATTATACACAAGTTTTCTTAACAATTAGAATAATCATCCTTGTATAGAAATTGAGATAAAAGAATATTGATCTCAACTGGACAAAGAAAGAAAAAACCTGGGAAATAGCACTAATACCTATCAAATTAGATCCACTTTTTTCTCTCAAAGGAGCCCTGACATAGTAGAGAAAGGAGTAGGGCAAAGTAGGATACATCGTTATAGACTATACTTGACTTAAATGAAATCCACTGGGATGTTTAAGAAACTCAAGCCAAGGAGGAATCATATTAGTTCACTCATCAAATATTTAATATTGCATATAAGAAAAAAAGAATATGTGCAAGAATTGATGGTGATTTTTCCCCTCTGGTAATCGGTCTCATTACTGTTAGATGTTTTCAAATAGACTCATAATTTCAAGCTGCAGATATACATCTTCTTTTTGGCTGGAGACAGCTGAGACTCTCAGATCCCAAAATATGCCTTGCTCATCTGGGGTCTATGGGACTGATGGAGGTTCAGGTTCAAGTGTTGTAAAGAACTGAGTGTAACCTATAAGTAAAGGCAAATAGTAAATATAACTGATAAGAGAGTTTCTGAGTTCTTCTTTTAGTCTGCTTGCCTGGTAGTCCTGCCCTTGGTTTTACATATTTTCTTCCAGCTTAGATCTCAGAATCATTTATTTTGTGTTTATCCTCTCTGGAAAATCAATCTCCTTGCATTTTCTTCTGTCAGCTTACCAGTTGTTTTCATTGCTCCCATCTGTGACTACTGTGGACAGCTGGAAAAATAAGATGAAAGAAAAATCCAATGACCATTATAAGACTCTGACCAATCATCGCTAATTAGTCCAACTAACTTCAATCATTCCATCTTTGGAGTTTCCTGATTCCTTTCTTCAACTTTACCTTCTAAAGTTGAACCTAAAATGAGTGTTATTATTCAGTGATTTATTAAATTCAATGCCTCAGGAGAAAAGTAACGCACAAAAAAGAAATCCAACAAGAATGTATATTCTCGGGCCAGGGATTTAGCTCAGTGGGGCCTCACCTGCACAAGCTCATGAGTTTGATCCTTGATACCAAAAAAAAGTGTATTCTCCTCCAGGCATGCTAGTTCCAGTTGGATCCTCAGCAACGCTCTGGGTCATTAATTGTATTCACAGAGTTGGTTCCTCTTTGAGTCAAGGAATATCAGAATCTGATTTTCTCCAGGCTTATGTTGAGCTTATCCCATCAAAAATCATCTAATTACCAAATTCCCTCAGTTTAAAACCTCCTATATGGCTCTTACCTCCATTCATTTACTCCTTTTCAACTTTCTCCTGTTGGGTGAAATGAAATAGAGAAAATTGTATATCTTTTGACTTGCGGAATTGTCACAGAGGAAGTAGCAATATTTCTATTTGGATATAATACTGTGATACACCACAGTGAACAGCAAGAGAGTTCTTCAAATTCCAGGATATACTGCTGAATTCAAGGCCATTTGTTGGACAGAGAACATATCTTAATGTGATATTCAAGTTTGCATCCAGATTATGGCTTTGCATAAGAAAGGAGAGAAAAACTTACCATGTGAACACTACGTGGAGTAAAAAGAGAAAGAATGATTAGTGATAGAATAAAAAGTGGGAATTTGCAAAATAAAAAGTCATGTGGATCTGTTTTTGCAAAATATTTTATGTTGTGAGACAGTTCTTCCTGTTACCTTCATTAAAGGAACATTTAACATAAAATTTGTTGGTCAATAAATATATGAAAAGCTCTTCAACATTTTTAGGCTTTAGGGAAATGCAAATCAAAAATATATTGAGATTCCATCTCATCCTAGTCAGAATGCCTATTATCGGGAATACAAAGAGTAATAACTGCAGAGAAAACATGAGGGAGAAAGGAAAACTTAAACACTGTTTTGGGGAATGTTAATTGGTATAGCCACTATGGAAATCACCATGAAATGTCCTCAAAATTCCAAAAATAGAATTATCGTATGATCCATCTCTATCACAATATGTATAATCTATATATATATATATATCCATTTATATATGTATATCCATTTTCATATATACACACACACAATGAAGTATTATTCAGTCACAAGAAGAGCAAAATTGTGTCATTTGCTAGAAAGTGGATGGAACTGAAGCTCATAGTGCTAAGCAAAATAAGCTAGATTCAGGAAAACAAGTGTTACATCTTTCGCCTAGTATGTGGGATATAAAAAAAGCAATAAGGATGGCAGGAAAGTACAAGAGAGATTGTCATTTAAAAAGAGGAATGGAATAAGGGGAGGAGAGTAGAAGGGTAAGTAATTAGAGGATGATTAAAATATGTTATATGCATGTATAAAATACCACACTGAAATCTAATATTTTGTAAAATTAACAGGCATAAAAATATATTAAAATAAATGGACAAATTTGTGAAGAAGTAACAAATATGTATAATTAGGAATTTTATAGCAAATTTATCAGAGAAATTTTGAAAGAAAAAAAGCACTATAAAATCCTTTAAGTAAAATAGGAAACAAAAACTGCTAACTTCAAAATTGGAAATTTTAAGAAAGCTAATATAAATCTTAATAAAGATATATTATGATAAAAAAGATTATAAAATTTGTAAAATCTTTAGCAGGACTCAATTTCTGGGATAAAATTACCTGGTTAATTTATAGTAGAAAACTACCAGCACATATAAGTGGAAGATAAATATCTAGGTTACTTTTGGCTTCCTCATCTCCACACTGCACTCCCTTGTTTGGAATGTCTCTTCAGTACATTTCCAGGTGGTAGTAATAATAATTGTGGTGGTAGTAGACTAGTCATAGCTGACTTTCATAAAGAGCTTTCAAATAGACAAGCACTATGATAAACCTTTTGCATAAATTACCTTATTTCTGAAAACCAATCTGGAAATTGGCAGTACTCTTAATGATGTATTTCAGATTAATAAATTGAGAAATTTAGCAGGGTATAAATTTTTTCAACTCCCTATTTTTCAAGTAAGAAATATTGTTATTAGCAAGTTGTCGTTTATTTATTTACCTTTTTAGACACCTTCCTCCCAATTTTTCTTATAGTCTGTAAAACAGAGAACATGAGTGGTATTTCTTAGTATCCTTAATGTTCAGCAGAATTTGTGATGTTGAGAATATTCCAAGACACATCGTGTGAGACATGAAATGTATCCTTATAGAGTCGAAACAAACAGGGCAAGAAGTATATTCTGCTTAGCTTCTCAATTTGTTCTACAAATTATTGTTTAGGAACTATTTACTATCCTTAAAATAATCCCCTGGATAACTCATTTGAATGAAAAATCTCTGGAAAAAAAATCACATGTCACAAACTCTTTGAGGAAATATAATTATTGAGTACAACATTAATTAATATATTCAGCATCAATATGATAGAATATCTAGCCTCTGATAAAACAGAATAAACCAGTCCTAATGAATGCTGAAATATACATGTAAATGTCACGTACTTGCATGTATATATGCCAGCATGTATTATACTGGACACGTGCATATGCATTTGGACATTGCATGGCTACAGTCCCTTCAGGACCTAGTGCACATTCTTCTTTGTAGATGAAGTTCAATAAATATAAGAATAAGTAGAAAGAAAAGAAGAAAATGAGATAAGAAAGAAAGGAAAGAGGAGAGGAAGGGAGAAAGGAAGGAAGGGAGAGAAGAATGGAGAGAGGGAGGGAGGGAAGAAAGGAAGGTAGAGAAGGAAGGGCTAAAAATTTCTGCAAAATTCCACATTTAGCTGATATATATTTCCTTATAGCTGTCGCAAGTGAAACAAAGCAAGCAGTTTTTAAAAGATTCCTTTCAGTAGTTAAACGTTGCCTATAGGTTGATTGCTATTGTTAAAACTCTTGTCACAAAAGGTTCATTTTCTAACTTTGATAAATACCATTTAACACTTATCTAAGAATTTAGTATGGAGACAGGTTGTTCTCAGTTTGACTAAATATTAACAAATATTGTTGTACCCCAGAAGTGAGGCCTCAGGAGTTCAGATTTGGGAAAATCAGCCATAGCCTCTTTGAACTGTACATTTGTGCTTGATAATCTGCTAATTCCTCATATCTTATCATGACATTTAAGAAAGACCAGTTTACTTACAGCAGGATAATTTTTGCCAACTACTTGTAAGAGACTCACATGCTTTTGTGGTTGGCAACTTAACAAATCCTCTATAGAAGTCACTGTGAGGGATAAATGGACTTCTATAATTCCATTTTCACCCACTCACTTTTATGGTTATTACTGCACTTAAAAGTCAACGTGGCTGTCACTGATCCATCTTGGCATTCGGGCTGATCCTCTATACAGTCAATCTTGCTGCTTTCAACCATCAGTATCTGAAGTGCAAGTATGTCAAGCAATAGGAAGAGGGAGCTTAGCATTGCATTGGCTGTCTAAATCAATCATTTTTGAACATGAATAAGTCATGCTTAAATGGATGACTTCAGCCTACATTAGAAAGTACTTGTGTGAGGAAAAGGTTGAAAAATAGAATAAATTCAGGTTGGAGAAGCCACACTGCATTTTTCTTTAGCCAGTCTCATTTTTTCCCCTTCTACTCAAATGATAGATATACAATTGTCTTAATACAAATCCAACTTAAGGCTACTGAAACTGATTTAATGGAACAGCTTGTGATATTCAAGCAAAGAACTCATTAAGGAAATTCAAAATGCTGAAATCACAATAGCGTTGCTGACTTTCAGAACGCGAGATGATGGATGGAAATGTCTTGCTATGAATGTTTACCAGCAGGCAGGTATATTTTATACTTGATCCCTTAAAGAAGAGTTGAAGGATTTTTTTCAGCATTAACTTCTCGTTCCAATTCCACCATCAATCTGTAACTCAGTTCAATTTTTAGCTGGACACCTGTTTCTGGATTTCACTGATATCCTTTGAAGGTCACACGTTTGTATTTTTCCTATAGCAGTTAAACTTTTCCATGAGCCAAGGGATCAGTCTACATTTGCACATCTTAATGTATTCCATAGCCTCTGCTGTATTTAGTTGCATATAAATACAGGACCAACTCACTGCCTCCCCCCGAAAAAAAAAACCCCAACCCCTTTACAATCAAGAAAGTACTCGAGGATTGAGGATGAAGAGAGAAACAAAGCATCCAAGCTGTAATACATGTCCTGCACTAACACATGTAACAGTCAGGGGAAATTTCAGATTTCTCATTTCAGTCTCCTCTTCCTTATATATTAGACAGAGTATCAGTAAGCCTAGTTGTATAATTTCTCATTCCATATCAGATTAGAGCCATCAAGCCAAGACAAGCTGTGCAACAAACTCAGTAATTGGTAGGAAAGAAAAGCTGGAGATATTTAAATTAGAAAAATTATAACTACCTAGCAGTAGGAGAAAAATTAAATGAAGTATAAATTGCATTATATTCATATAATATAATACTACATAGCAAGCAAACTGAATGATTTAGAGCAGAAATTGGCAAACTTTACCAGCAGTAAAAGAGAGTAAATATTTTTAGCTCTGTGGATCATACAGTTGCTCTCACAATTACTTAAGTTGGCCACTGTGGTACACAGGCAGCCAGAGACCAAATGTAAACCAGGTTATGTTCCATAGCTAATGATCAATAAAACCCTATTTAAAAAATCAAGCACCCTGCAGGCTGTAATTTACTAAGCTCTGATATAGTTAGGTGAAGAAATACAGATAAGTCTCAAAATATAATTTGTAGTAAAAAAGCAAGTTTCTGAGTGATATATGAATGATATCACATTTATTAAATCATAAAAATGCAGCTTTTCAGGATATAGAGTTTGTGGATCCAGACATATATTCTAAGAGCATGAAAAAGAGTAATAAACACACTATTCAGGTGAGTGGTTAAGTCTGGAGGGAAAGTATATGGGGTCAATTATATCTGTAATGACTCTTCATTAAACTCTGCTTTGGCTACAAAGATGTTCCCCATATTATTATCTTTGCATTTTTGTGTACTTAAAATATTTTATAATCACAAAAATACATATGTAAGACAAGTCACATGATATGCTTAGTAAATTCACTGGCAAAAAAAATGAATTGTGTAACTTAATATTTCTGAGTTTATTGACATATTTCATGCATCCAGAAATCAGACACAACAGTAATCATCACCGTGAGATGATAATGGAGAAATTAAGTTTAGTAGAGACTTTTGTTGAAAAATTCAAAAATATCTAAAATAATATTTCAGAGAGAGAAAAATTAACACTTTAAGAATGCCTTGATGTGTATAGTTTTTGTTATAATCAATATGTGGAATGTCTCATCTGATTTATCTGGAGTTTTCATTACATTGCAATTTTTTAATCTAGTCAACAAATTTTCATGGAGTCTTCCCTTGACTACTCTATATAAAAGTGAATAAGCAATTGCATTATGCAGGCTCATTTATTGTAAGAGTAAATGTCCTCCTTTGCAGATTTTTATGTTTAAATATAAAATGCATGTGATTTCTTAAATCAGGGGATTTGAAGAGTTATACTTACATTAGTTGTCCCAAGAGTACCTTAAATACTATTACCAAGCAATACAATCAGTAACCATGCAATAATAAGGATGATACATGGGGAAGAATTTCTTTCTAAGAAACATACAATTTTCAGGATTACTTTCTGAAGGCATAAAATTTCTCTCAAGTTACTAAGAATCATAATAACAGACCTACCTAGGTTATATATTTATTTTAAAAATTAAACAATTTTTCATATAAGTATGCCTTATAGTAATAAATTATTAGTAATATTTTAAATAGAAAACACAATTAACGTAACAACATGCATCCCTTTACTCTTCAGTTGATATGACCTAGAAGCAAACAGCACCCTATTTGCAATGAGCAGATATAGCAGTACCTAGAGTTTGCAATACTGTTCTCTAGTAAAGGGAACTAAGATTTTGCTCCTTAAACAAAGATCTCAAACTAGAACTGAAGCAGGACATAGACAAGATGATTTCGGAGCATCTTTCAGGGCAACAAAGGAAGGAGGGAAGTATATATACAATACAGTAAGTCTCTGACTTATGAACATTCACGTTGAAAGCCTTCACAGATATGAAGGGACCTCGCTCTATAAACATTCATAGATGTGAACACATCTCCGAAGTAGCTCATGTGTCTGCAGGACATTGTCACATTTGGGTTGTGCTGCTGAGTGCTTACCGTATAGTGAGATATTGTACAGTAGTACAGTATAGTCAGGGACTTACTGTATTCTTGAATGTGTGGGTTTTTTATGCTTTACATTGTATATTTGTGCCAAAGGTGTATAAGACTCACTTTGTCAGACTTATGAATGAGTGCAACTTACAGCAGTTCTCACTGAACAGGACTCAAACATAAGACAGGGACTTACGTACACACAAACAGAGCAGTAGACACATGTCAACAAGATGTAGGGACCAAATGAAAGAATCCCCATGGCCAAAGCTGAAGCAATTTGAGTGATAAAACAAAAAGAAGTATTGAATTATCACCTAAAATACAAAGTAACTATTCAGGAGTCCATAGTATTATAAAAATTGAATTTATTGATTCAGCAGAAATTATATATCTCTCATGGAGAAAAAAAATCTAAATAATTTATGTACATCCCCTCATTTCCATGAGATGCACCATAATTTCTTGCTGAGTTGCTCATAGTAACTTCATTCCAATAAGTATGGTGTGGAAAGGGAGAAAAAATATGTTAGCATAGGGGCTAGGGATTTAGCTCAGTGGTAATGCATCTGCCTTGCAAGCACAAGGTTGTGAGTTTGACCCCTGGTATCAAAAAAAAAAAAAAAAGAGAGGTTAGCATCATGTTAATGGTGTGCATCTTTTATTTGATGTGATCAAAAATGATACTTTAGCTCTAAATTGAGAGATAGTGTAGAAAATAACTGACCAGTACTCTTCAAATCTGGGGAAATCATGAACACTTAGGAAAGTCTGAGAAAATTTCACAATGAAGAAGTTAAGAGACATGAGGACTAGGCCTAATAAGATGGCTTAGATGAAATTCTAGGACAGATAAAGGACATTGG